TGGAAGAGAGAGACACGCTCAATGGAGCATGTTTGAGGAGAGAGACACGTCCCTATGGAGCGTGTTCCACCTGGAAAACCTGCCCAATCAGGTCGTTAGCGGCCTAATTCTACCCTATTTAAACCCCACTCCACACTCTTCACAACTGTTCTCAATCATTATACTCCTATATTCATTTTGCAATTGTTTATTCATATTTTGTCACAGAGTAGCCATGACCTCGCAAAATGTGCGCGCTAGTGTAACACCTTACCTCCTCAGTAGGGTTGGCAAAACGGGCCAACCCGGCTCAACCCGCATTCAACCCGAAAAAAAAGAGCCGGGTTAGGGTTGGCTCGAAAAATAAACGACCCAGAAAACTCAACCCAACCCGAACCGAGTAGGGTTAGGGTTGGCTCGCGGGTTGGCTCGAAAAAATGCAAAAATAAAATAAAATTCCATTGATGCTGTAACTTCTAAATTTTTTTCCTAAATTATTAATTCATTCAATACAAAGACATTATACAGATAAATCATAGAAAATTCCTTTTGCATTTGGACTTGAACTTATTCGCAACTGGCACCACATTCACACTGTCACACATACTATAAAAAAGGTCATTAATGCACGGTTTTGGACTTATTGACAGCTGCAAGGTATTTTCGTTTGGGTCTTTGGAATTGGAATTTTAAGTTTTAGCTTTTCACTTTACCTTCATTAATTTTTATACTTTTATATTTAAAAAAAACCATAACCCGCGAGCCAACCCGTTTGACCCGTGGGTTGGCTCGGTTTTTTTCGAGCTGAAACGAGTCGGGCTGACTCGAGTTACTAACTCATTTTCCCTAACCTAACCGGCTCATTTTTGCCAAGCCTACTCCTCAGGATCGTGGGAAACTGAATCCCAATGGGCATACAATCTATCCATATATGAAATACGTAGATCGCCACCAAATATGTTTGTGGCAGCAACTCAGGCATGACCAAAAACATGCTCACACTCGGCGGTCCAATCCAAAGCGGTATGTCCAGTAACTACTTGCCCATCAGTAGGTAAACCAAGTATACCAGCCATGTCCTGTAATGTGATAGTCATCTCTCCCTGCATCATATGAAACGTATGTGTCTCTGGTCTCCACCTCTCAACCAAAGCACTAATAAGGGCCCCATCCATCTAAAATACAAACAACAATTGACAATTCATATGTAACCACTTCAATAATTTATACAAATTAGTGTAACCACAATCTGGTTCATTCTAACCCTGTAGTTTTCCTCGTTGAGTCTCCAACCCTCTAACCTTATCCTCGTTCCACACGGTCTGTAAAACGTGGGTGCGCTGTGTCCTCTTCCGAAGTACCTCCCACCTATATGGTCCAGGAAGTACATGTGTACAGGGATCGAAAGACTCACCCTCACCATTGGATGCAGACCGCGGCGACTCAGATGAAGACGAAACAGCCATAACAGAATACTATTACAAAAAACAAATTATAGACAAATAATTATATTAGATTAGATTACATTAGATTAAATTAAATTAAATTAAATTAAATTAAATTAAATTAAATTGAATTGAATTGAATTAAGTTAAATTATATTAAATTAACTTAACTTAAATTAAATTAAATTACATTATTTTAAATTATATTATATTATATTAAAATAAATATTTCCTACTCTAATATTTTAAAAAAAAATTAATTAAAATGTATTTTTTTATTTAAAAAATCATATGTTCAAATATGCCATTGCTATATAATTATATTGCGCCACTAATCATACCTTCTTACAACTAAGTTTGCATAATTTGTTATTAAAAAAGTAATATTTAAATTTTTTTTGCCAACATACACATCAGCTAACTCCCTTAGCCACATCAACATTGACTTAACAACTAACTCAATTGTACAACTAACTTTCTATTTTACCGGAACTACTGCAGGAGGTGTTTGGTTCAAGTTTTCTTAGAGGATGCTTAGGCATTACATATTAGGATTTAGTGTGGTCCATGTTTGGTTCAAGTTTTCTAAGAATATTGATAGCAAACCAACTTGCCTAGACTTTTAGAATTGTTTGAAAAAAGTGATCTAATGCACTATGCCAAAATGCCACTTTGGAGATGGTATTGCAAGATGGATGGCTAAATGAAGAAGTGGAAAACAAAAGCATGACAAAAATACCCTCCTATAATTTGGAGGAGAGTGAATTTGGAGGAGAGATGTAAACATTCAAAAATTAAAAAGAGGTTAATTTGGTAATCTTACCTCGTTTCCCCATCAATATTTTACCTTCGACAAAACATAGACTTATAAAATTCTACCCAATTTTTCTGGTAAATTTTTTGCCAACCAAACAACTTTTTTTTAATTTTCTTACCAAACTTCTTTTTCCACCATATCCCTAATAATTATATTTTCCTAGTAAAAAAAAATTTCTTCTACGCCCCCTCAAAGTTCAAACAACTCTATAGCTGGTATTATCTTCAATCTTTTGAGCGTAACAATCACTTACAAGTTCATCCACATGCTCTAGTTGCATTTGATAGGTTGGTTTTTGTAGACATTTTGGACTACTTACGAGGAACAAGACTCAATGGCAAATTTGTGGACATGTTGAGGTCATTCTTTATCTTTTATATCAATGCGAAAAATATATTATTTTTTTACAATTATTTCAAGTGTTATATTATATTAATTTAAATTTCATAATTTTTCATGAGTTTTTTTCATATTATTATTTAACAATATATTAACATATCTTATTTGATGGGAATAAGAGAACGTGTTACTCGGATGAGAATCAGTCATGGGAAACTATAAAATCAGCAGACGCGTAACAGAAAGTCAAAAAATGTGTGCGGAGGGCACATACCACAAAACAAGCTTTGCTCAACACGAAATTACAGATCCATGACCAGAAGAGGAATGTGAGCTTGTTTGTGAAAATCGCAAGACGAATGAAGGCTCCACATGCTGCCCCAAGAATTTGGAGTGTTGCGGCTTTGACTACCACGTGAGAGCGCGTGAGACAGTGGTTGATGAAGAGACTTGGACAGAGATGGTCATTGGGATGAGACGAGTCGAATGGTATATGGGTCGGTCTAGAAGGTCACCAAAAAAGGTGGTGGTCAATGGCAATAACATGACTGGAGACGAGATTGATTGAAATATTAGGCATTTGGAAAGATGAAAAGACCGAAAACTGAGGGGATGACACGATCTCCCAAAAAATTTATAACTGATAGGTAATGGGCCATCGGATAAGCGCGAGTTAAGATTGTATTTCGTTATGGGCTACTCTTTTACGAAAATTCAAAGTTTTTGTTTAGCCATTTTTTTATATGCTTTCGACATCATTTGGTATCAGAGCACTAGGCTGCCTTCAACCAATGGTTGAACAGAATCGTAGAGGTTATAGTTGGCGGAGTCGTGAAGATAAGGGACGTGGATTCGTTCCTAAAGGAGACAGACAACCGTGTCAAATAGACCCGCATGACATAGAAAATGTCGAGCTCAAGAGGTGGATCTGGGATTTGAAACAATAACTTGAGCAAGCGTTGGACAAGGGAATCCAAGTTTTGGAGCGACTACTTGTGCGGGCGCGGAAAAAGAGAATTCAAGATTTGGAGCGATGACTCATGCAAGTGTGCATGAAAATCCAAATTTTGAAGCGAATCTTGTGAAGAAGCAGAACATGGAAATCCAATATTTTAGGAAGTTTTCTTATTTTTAGAATTTTATATTTTTGAATTTTGAATCAATTTGTAATTAGTGTATAAAAGAGTGCTTATGACCCTTATTCTAAGAGTTAAATTTTGTTATTTGTTAATAGAAATTGAGAAGTGGAAAATTACTTTTTTATGAAAATCTTAACTTTATGTTTAGTCACTTTTCTAAGAGCTTCCACCATTAATATGGCTTCGCTATAACTAATAGCTAACTTGAATGCCTAGCCTATGATTTTGTGATAGATGCCCACTTTTAAAAAGTAACAATTTTTTTAGAAAAACTGACATTTAGGTTAGTGTTCCCCATGTCTTAGAACTTAGAAGAAGGCTTCCCTCATTTCGAAATGACAGTCTCATTAAGATGCACAGCACGACAGCTGGAGCACATGCAACAAAGCGCGAGGAATAACGTAGATTACATCCATGCGTGTTGGAATTGGTGAGTAAAGAATGATTTGAAGAGCGAGTAGTTTGATTCCATCGTGGAGTTGACGAGGAGCTTCTTTGATCGTGGCCAATCAACGCCACAGCCTCCTTCAGCATGCTCGACATGGATGAATCCACAAGCATTGTTGCTTGATAGTAGCTGCACAGGTTTGAAGGTGGGGTTGGAAATCCATAATATGCTTTGTTATATCAAGGGTGCACTGCGATTAAATTTTCATATTTCTTTGTGTATGATTAATTAAATTCTTAAAATTATATCATTATTCAAAAGATCAGTTTTCCATATTAATTTTTTTTTTTTTCTAAAATTTTCTAATTTTAATAAAATTAATGGAAACGCAAATTAATAAAATATATATATTTTCAATTATTCAAGTTGTAACAGTTGGAAATTCACTAGAAATGATTGGACAATTAAGTTTATGATGGTTAGTTATGCAAATTAAGTATTAATAGTTTTGACGTATTTGTTTTAATTATTTTATATTTCTTATTTTCATAAAAAAAATTTATTTTATTTTCTGTATTTTATATATTTTATATACCATTGTCTTATTTGATTTTTATATTCATATGTTTGGATATTCATATCCTATTAATTATTTCATGACAGGATGAAAATATATGGATGTGATAAAAAAATCCAAATGAAAATAAAGATGGAAGAAAGTGGAAGGAATCAGGGAATAGTGAGAAACTTAAACTAATTGGATTATTGTTGAGTTGGAAAACGCAATCGAGTAGGTGGGGAGAAAATATATAGTATATATAGGCCATATCACTATCTCATCAGTATCTCTACAAAGTGTTGACGAGAAAGATAGAGAGAAAGTGCAGAGAGCCATGTCCAATTCCAGTAATGCTATGCCTTCGGCTCCATCACCAAGGTACTAGAAGATTTCTTCCTTGTCATGCAATTGTCTAGGTTTTGAATCTACTGTACATGCAATATCTAATGGTAACTTTTGTTGCTCACTCTTGAACTGATTTGAGGTGACCAATATCTGTTTTTTATTTTTGGATCTAGTTTTAGCAACATCCATTGTTTATTTATTTCTTCATCAGATTTTGTATCATCTAAAATTTCTGGCTTGAATAAGGTTGAATTTTGTAGCTTGTCCTGTTGTTGCATGAAGTTTTTTTTTTTTTTTTCTTAATAAAAAAAATTGTTAGTGAGAGTTTAGTAATGTTGACAAATCAAAGGAATGTCTTCTGGGGTTGTAGCTGTCTTTTAACAAATTGTATTGATCTTGTTTGCACCTATTTGAACAATTTGAGTTTGGAAAATTTTTAATCTTTCAAAGATTTTTTTTTGTCAGATATTCATTCTTCATTCTTCTTGTTTGGCCAGATCTAATATTTCTGAGCCAAACTCCTACCTAACTGAGTTTGGATTTTGTTCTAAATTGTTGGAGATCAGTGTTAATAATACTAGTATGTGGCCCTGTTGTGCAGGATTAATAAGAGTAAAGCACTTCACAACTTAGTCTTTCCTTTTACAAGAGAAAGTATCCTATATATATTATCTGTTTTTCTTTTGATATCATTGTTTTGTTTCTTGGATTTTTGGTTCAGGAAATCTGTGACACATTCTATATTATTTCTTCATATTATTCTGTATCTGTGTAAGTGCCTTTCAGCGTTTCTATTTTAGATGTAGTGAGAGCGTATCAATCAAAGATTGTGGTATAATTTAAAGTTATATATTGTCTCTTTTCCTCAGGTTATTGGGCAAAGTGGCATTGGTTGCAGGTGGGGCCTCTGGAATTGGAGAAAGCATTGTTCGCTTGTTCCATATCCATGGTGCTAAAATTTGTATAGCTGATATTCAAGACAATCTTGGAAAGCAGGTCTGTGAATCACTCCGTGATGAAGAAAATGCATGTTTTGTCCATTGTGATGTTACATTAGAGGATGATGTTGGCCATGCAGTGGACTTCACTCTGAGTACATTTGGCACACTTGACATCATAGTCAACAATGCAGGAATTACTGGACCACATTGTCGTGATATCCGCAATGTGGACTTATCAGAATTTGAGAAGGTGTTTGATATAAATGTGAAGGGAGTATTCAATGGGATGAAACATGCTGCTAGAATTATGATCCCACAGAAGAAGGGCTCAATCATTTCTACGTGCAGTGTTGCAAGTACCGTAGGGGGGTTAGGACCACATGCATATACAGGGTCAAAGCATGCTGTGTTGGGATTAACAAAAAATGTTGCAGCTGAATTGGGGAAGGATGGAATAAGAGTGAACTGTGTGTCACCTTATGTGGTCCTAACAGATTTGGCTTTGGCTCATTTTCCTGAGAACCAGAGAAATGAGGCTGCAATGGCTGGTTTTCGTGCTTTTTATGGGAAAAATGGCAACCTGCAGGGGGTAGAATTAACTACTGATGATGTGGCTAACGCTGTGCTCTTCCTTGCAAGTGATGATGCTAGGTATATAAGTGGACAGAATCTGATGGTTGATGGTGGCTTCTCCAGTGTAAATCACTCACTCCAAGTTTTTAGATGATCAGTTGTATTTCATTTCTTGTTAATTTAATCAAACTAAGTTTGGGACATTGCATTCATAGTATTTGTAACTTTTCTACCCTTCAACGTTAACAAGCTCTGATGATGAGCTTCTTAACCCCCCACCCTCCTATTTTTTTTGGTAAAATTGTGTTTGGGTGTGTGTTTGTTCATTGGTGTTCTTTTTAGATTTTATGAACAATTTAGGTTTTGTTGGTTTGTGATGTGTACTCAAAAGGGGGCCTATCTAAGAATGGAGCGAAACTTGATCACTTGCTTTGAAACATGCATTCGAGCAATAACTTATATTTGATCTTGTATTTGAAAGCATCTCTTTTATAGCTTTAATTCTTTATATATATATATATATATATATATATGTATATATATATATATATATGTATGTATATATATATATATGTATGTATATATATATAAGGTAGGATCATTTGACGCCGGTGTCAAATTTAAAGTTTGACACTTCATCTATATATATGTATGTATATATATATAAGGTAGGATCATTTGACGCCGGTGTCAAATTTAAAGTTTGACACTTCATCTGAGAGCCGTTAGATCAAAAAAGATCAATGATGTCACATGTTTACAAATCAGAGTCGTTGATCTTTTTTGATCTAACGATTCTCAGATGAGGTGTCATACTTTGAAATTTGACACCAAATTATAACGGTTGATTCATTTCTGCCAATCAAGCTTATTAATTAATCATTAATTCTTAATGAATGATAATCATTGACGGAGAAGGATCCGTTTACAATTTTTTTTTTACAAATTACACTAAATATGATTAGTGTATGACCGGTCAGACAATGTAGTTTGTAAGAATTTGTAAACAAATAGTTGGTAAATATAACATTTTCCATCATTGATTGACAGAAATCAACAATTAATTTGATGTCAAAAGTTAAAAGTTTGACACTGATGTTAAAGAATTCTTACCATATATATATATATATATATATATATATATATATATATATATATATATATAAGGTCAGGATCACTTTACACCAGTGTAAGTTACACTCTCAATCTTGTCCGTTGATCTCATTTATATCTAAGAGATCTAATTTTTTTAGTAATGTGAGTCATCGGATACAAGTGGATCAATGGTCAAGATTGAGTGTAAGACTTCTAACTCTTACACCGGGGTAGGATCATTTTACACCGGTGTAAGAATAATAAGTCTTACTCTAGATCTTAGCCATTGATTTTCTGCATCTAACGGTTAAGATTTATTAGGTCTCACTCATTAATTAATTTTCAATTCCTAATAAATCTCAACCGTTAGATGCACGAAAATCAACGGTTAAGATTTGGTGTAAGATTTATTATTTTTACATCGGTGTAAGTTGATCCTATCCCTATATATATATATATATATATATATATATATATATATATATATAAAAATATATATATATAAAAAGTCATTGCTCGCGGGTCCCAATAGCTAATTGCTCGCGGCTCAGCCAACGTCATAACACTTCGTTGCCAGCGTTATAAAATTAACATACCAGAATAGAATTTACAAGTTTCTATTATCTAATTCATTACCATAGGTTCTAATTTTATTTCAAACATGATTCTAAAATATTTCCAAGCATTAATTTATGTGCATAACTGACACGAGTTTACGCGGAAAGCTCTAAATCACTAGTTATATATCCACATAAAGCTCTCAAGCCAATCATTCTATGCCAACATTTATTACACTTAACAATAACAAAGTGAGATGCCACGAGGAGATTATTAAATGGCATCATGTATAATGATGACAAGCATGAACAATAAAAAAAAATGGCATCAATTATGATACAGGTTATTATGAATTACACGTGGAAAGTTATACATACACAAATATGAAAGACATCTCCTTTTAGAAAATACATATACAAATATATGTTACCAAAATAAATAAATAATAAAATACATATACAAATATGAAAGACATAACTCCTTTTATAAAAGTGATCCCTTGTGAATGTGACTCTCAACGCAAATGATCTCAAAAGAAGGGAGATCTCGGATTGTACACCCTATCACTAATTACTCAGCATTCCAAGGGACACTTTTACAAGGGTTATGAGCTCACACCTTATTAAAATGCAATCTTATAATGAGTTATGAAAGTAAAAAGCCAAAAAAGGTAATATGATGCCAAAGACATGAAAGCTATATGGCAAAATATGAAAATCATAAGTTATGTTATATTTATGTTCGATGAGTACTTTATTTCTATTATTTATATGATGAATTTTACTTAGGAACAAATTAAACTCCGCAGGACTTGAACCAATTATTGTTGGTGGTGTTTTTAAACATTGCTTGAATTTATTATATATGTTTACGTAGTGTTATAAAAACTGGACTTGACTGGTTGGTTTGAACCCAAAATCGGTAAACTGGCTATGTGACCCGTCCGGGTAAAATAATGGATCGAAAATGCAAGTGACTCAGTGTGACCTTATAGAGTTTATTTTAATATAAATAACCTATTATTTACCCAAAAAAGCCTATTTATTATTTGGTGTATTATAAAAGAGATGTATTTATACGTGAAATTCTACTTGAGCCTGTAATTTTTTTACGAGTTAATTATTGGTTAATAACATTTTTTTATACATGAAGAAAAAACTGTTAGAAAATTATATTTTCTAATAATTATTGTGGGTCACATATTATATTAATAATTATATTGTGCTATTTATATATATTGGGTAAATTAAGGTGATCAGTTAAATATTCCCAAATAGATTCCTAAGTGAGTATGGGCTGAATGAGTGGATACCGGTGTTGGACCAACTAGGTATAATGGGAGCTTATTGACCCAACAATAAAGATAAAAACACTATAAAGGGTTATTGTCCCCAATACGTCAAATAACAACCCTAGTTTCTCTTCCCCGTCAAGAGAGAGACGGCACTCTAAGGAATTCGGTTTTAGGGTGATTTGACTGAGGAAGACTACAAACCCCAAGAGACAAGATCAAAGTTATTCCGCTGCAATGGAGACAGGTATGCCTCCACCTTTATGTTCTTATTTCTTTATGATTTGGTATGATGGATCTTGGCTTGTAGGTGATAGTTATCACCAAAAGGTTTAGAGGAATTAAAAATTCCAACAATTGGTAACAGAGCCATCGTCATATTGAATTATGAGAGAATTAAGTTTTGTGATTTTTATATATGATTAATCATGAAAAGTTTTGCTTTATTGTCTTTTGACATAAAGTTTATTATTTTTTGAACGTGGGTTCCATCTTATGTATTTTGTATTAGCTATGTAGTGTTATTTTTGTTCCCTGACGGTGATTTTTTGGTTTTGGAACAAAAGCTACATTTTTTAGAAAAAACTAGGATTCACAGTTTAATAAGGGTTTATTATTTAAATTTTGAATCTGTGAATAGATGGAATGTTTGGAAGAATTTTGGCTTTATAATCGATGAGGTTTTGTTGTTTGAATTTTTTGAATAAACAATGAATTCTCTTAGAAAATTTTGGACTTACGGTTTGAAAGAAATCAAATGTTTAAGGTCTTTGGTTTTGGGGTTTTCCTTATATTTGATATTCTTTGTTAAAAGCTAAATATAATTTTTTTTTTGGTATTATGCATCATTTTCAAGCTTTCATTTGAAAAGGCTTACATGTGCGTCGATTGTGCATTAATTTTTAAGCCTTATAATGAAAAGGTATTTATTGTATGCATCATTTTCAAACTTTCATTTGAAAATGCTTACATGTGCGTTGTTTGTGCATCATTTTTTAAGCCTTATACTGAAAAAGTATTTATTGTTAATGGTATAATGATATAGTATGTATGTATATAATTGAGGATTGATAAAGAATAATTTTCTTTATTGTTGTTATTTTATTTTTAAATGTGTTTATTATCCCTAAAGGTTTTTATTTGAAATTGAATATGATAGATTTGTTAGCCGCCAAAGTGGCCAAATTTATAAAGGTTAATTTGATTTCAAATAGGTTGGTCATATAAATATATTTTATTTATGCAAATAATAATCGGCCCACAGGAAGGTTATTGTTTGGCCAAATAACATATGTTGTGTGATCATGTGTGTGTTTATTGCTTATGCGGATAGTGATCGGCCCACAGGAAGGTTATTATTTGGCCAAGTAACAAACATACTGTGGTAATAAATATGTGACAATTATCAAGAATTCTCCATGTAATTCATAGTCGGCCCACAGGAAGGCTATGATTTGACAGGACTTATTGTCAATGTTTGATTACTACATTAAGAGTACCACTTACAAGTTGATATTTTTGTCCAACGACTAAATATTAATGTTGTGCTAGGTATCTTATAATAAACTCATTTTACTTCGGATTATTTGTATGTTATCTTTTTTGTTCTCTGTATAGTTTCTGCTACCGCTGCCAATTATGTTGCTCAAATGAATATGCTTCCAATGCTTAATGGGGCAAATTTCAAGCTGTGGAAAGAGAATGTGGAAATTTTTCTCGGCTGCATGGATCTCGACAATGCGCTAAGGACTGAGAAACCTACTTCCACTCAGGAAAATCCAAACACGGATAAAATTGAGAAGTGGGAACGCTCAAATCACATGTGTCTGGTGATCATGAAACATTGCGTTCCGAAGGCGTTTAGGGGCTCGATTGTTGAGACTACTGATGCCAAGTTGTTTCTGAAGGAACTCGAGCAATACTTTGCTCGAAATGAAAAGGCTGAAATTGGTCAAACCTTGTCTAAACTCATAAACATGAGGTATAAAGGAAAGGGAAACATAAGGGAGTACATTATGGAAATGTCTAATCTTGCTAGAAAACTAAAGGCATTAAAGTTAGAGCTGCCCTCTGAGTTGCTCATGTACTTAGTTATTATCTCTCTTCCTGCACAATACAGTCAATTTGTGGTGAGTTATAACACTCAAAAGGAAAAATGGACTCTTAATGAGCTCATTTATCACTGCGTGCAAGAGGAAGAGAGGTTACAGCGAGAGAAGACTGATAGTGCTCACTTGGCATCAACCTTTCAAGACAAGAAAAGAAAGAGAGCTAAGGATAATGCGGATGCTTTGCTAAAGAAGCAAAAGAAGCAGGACCAAAGAATTCACCTGCTTCTTTTGTAAGAAATCTGGACACATGAAGAAAGAGTGTTCCAAATACAAGGCATGGCGCAAAAAGAAGGGTATGACTCTCACTTTAGTTTGTTGGTACTGGTTCTGTGGCACAAGCGTTTAGGTCATATCTCTAAACAGAGAATTCAGAGGCTTGTGACTGATGGAATTCTTGAACCCCTTGATTTGGATGATTTTGAGGTGTGCATTGAATGCATAAAGGGGAAACAAACAAACATAAGGAAAATAGGTTCCAACAGAGCTTCAAACGTCTTAGAATTGATTCATACAGATATTTGTGGACCATTTCCTATATAGCCTCTTGGAATGGTCAACAATACTTTATCACATTCATAGACGACTATTCAAGATTTAGATACCTATATTTGATTAGAGAGAAGTTACAATCATTGGATGTGTTCAAAGAATTTAAAGCTGAAGTTGAACTTCAGTTAGGCAAGAAAATTAAGGCCATTAGATCTGATCGTGGTGGTGAATACTATGGTAGATCTGATGGATCAGGTGAACAACGTTCAGGGCCCTTTGCGATCTTCCTAAAAGAGTGTGGAATCGTCCCGCAATACACAATGCCAGGTAAACCTAGCATGAATGGTGTTGCAAAAAGGAGAAACTGGACTCTTAAAGACATGGTAAGGAGTATGCTTAGTCATTCTTCATTGCCAGAATCACTTTGGGAAGAAGCACTAAAGACTGCAGTTTATATCCTTAATAGGGTTCCCAGCAAAGCAGTGACAAAAATCCCTTATGAGCTATGGAATGGAAAGTAACCTAGCATAAGGCATTTACACATTTGGGGTTGTCCAGC